CGTTTCATTGTAACGGAAAAAGTTTCCCTTGATGTCTTCTAACATTTGGTAACATTTTCAACTTCATCGAAAAAACAAAATGGACGCCATAACGTCATACCTCAAAATCTTGAAATGGCTATAACGCAAAAACGGTTGAATTTACTGCCTTTATGCACAATGTTATATGTAGATAATCGTCAGATCAATGCACAATGTCATTCCAATGAAAGTGATGCCTTTAGTTTTTCGGTAACATTTTCCGTTAATGTTGTACGCCATTTTGAATATTTCCTTTGATCTTTTAAAATGCTGACAATATGTTAAAACTTGTTTTACTCCAATCCAATATCAATCACAAATATTTGGTTAAGTTGTAATTGAAAAGCTTTTCCCAGCTATCCTCTAATGTTTGGTAACATTTTTAACTTAATCGCAAAAACAAAATGGCCGCCATGACGAAACATTTTTCAGTAAAATGTCAAATTCCGGTTTTTGGTAGGGGTCAAAGCTCAAATGCACTATATTGAGTACCAACCTTAAAAAAACTTCTTCTAAAGTTCCACAAGGTCTAGAGTCTTGATATATTATATTTAAGATGCTGAGATGTCTGGGTATCAGGTTGGAAAAAAAGGTTGACATTGATCAACTATCAAGTTCACAATCAAGGTCACAAATGTCAAATGTTTAAAAAAATAAAATTACTTTTAATCAAGAATATTTCAAAAATTGTTCGATGGATTTACTTTACATTCAGGTATGATGTGGACAACAAATGCGCACATTTTTGGCAGAAAACATTTTGAGTTTACCAGGTCGAGTTTTGAGTTATTCAGGGGTCAAACTTCATATGTGCTTTTTCAAGATAATGACTTCATAAGGTCACAGAGGTCATATATGTAAAAATATTGAAACCATTTTTTCTGAATAACCAATAATTCCAGGGTAACGATGTTTGGCACAGAAGCATGTTTGAACGAAGGGTTTTAAAATGTGTGCAAATGAATGACCTTGACCTACTCTAAACATAATTTCAAAACTGAAAGTCGAAAACCGTTTTCATTTTTGTGCGATTGTGAAGTGCTTTCAGTACTCTCAGTACATTGATTTATATCAAGACATCTAATACACGCTGGTAATACTACATAGATTACTACGCACTCTCATCTTAAAAGTGTGGACAGTTCACATCTCTACTGCAGTGGGTAAACATCAGCCTTTCTTTGGCATGGCAAACCCAACCGATAGACAAAAAGCTAGTTCAAATTCATCATCCTAGAAGATGTACATAGTGAACGGACTATATGACTCTTACGGACTGCCTTCGTATACAACTAAGCCCACTGGCTGCCTATATTTATCCGTTCTTTCTCAGCTGACGTCATTTCGCACTCCGGGAATCCCCCACTACTGAGTCAGCTACTGTAGACTTGCACAGGTTAATATTAGAAGGCCAAATCAGTCCTTACAGTGAAAAGCCCGTCAAATTATTAGCCAACAATTTCTAGTTTTAGATTGAACTTCTTCAATGTCATTTATGTAAATTTAAAAAAAATATGGACGAATCTGGTTTTCAACCTGGTCATTCTGCTGTTCATCAAAATATTGAAATATATCATACAATATGTGAAAATATTGAAAAAATGCAATCATCTTGTCTAGTTTTTTTGTAACATTTCTAAAGCGTTCGATCGTGTGTGGCACAAGGGACTGAATGTAGAATTAGCAAACCATGGTATACGTGGGAAACTACTTGTCTGGTTAAACAACTATGTAAGTAACCGAAAACAACAGGTCTTTGTAGGAAATAGTAAATCTTCCGTTAAAGCTACAAATGCAGGGTTCCACAAGGTTCAGTTTTAGGTCCTTTACTTTTTATTATCTACATAATTGATATATCGGATAACCTCGAAAGTATTTCAAAATTGTTTACTGACGACACGTCTTTATTATGCTCTGAACCGTCCTTTTGGCTATCGAAACTAAAATGAACAGCGACCTAGTTAAAATTCAAAAGTGGGCAGAAAAGTGGTGTGTAAAATTTAATCCCCTAAAAACGGAAGCTTTACTCATTTCAAACATTAAACATGATCATGTGACAGATATTAAATTCAATAATGTGAGTGTTGACTTTGTAGATAATCATAAGCACCTAGGAGCTATTTTGGACGCTAATTGTAAATGGAGTAGACATAAAGAAAATATATGTAAAAATGTATCCAAGCAGGTAAGTATCCTTCCTAAACTTAAATATATGTTAAATAGACAAACTTTATCCAAAATCTAAAACTTATACATTCTTCCTTTATTAGAATGGTGTTGTGAGGTTTGGGACGGGTGCTCTCTCTCGGTGACGCAGACAAATTGGAAAAACTTCAGTTGGAGTTTGCTCGAATAATCACGGGATTACCTTCTTATGCTAGTAAAATTTCTTTATATTCTGAAAGTGGGTTAGAACCACTATCAAATCGACGTTCCAGGGGAAAACTACAGGTATTCTTCAAAATTATTAACAAACTCACGCCCTGTTATCTAACGTCTTTAATGCCCCCTTTAGTTTCAGAAAGCTCACATTATCACCTCCGTGACGCAAATAATTACTCCATACCAAATTTCCGACTACAACTTATCCTTTTTTCCATCTACGACTCCACTTTGGAACCAACTAGATCTTGAAATTAGAAATGGTATTTCGTACCCAGTCTTTAAAAAATCTCTTCGAACCATGACAAAAGTTCCAAATTATTACTTGATCGGAAATCGGAAATCCAATATATTGCAAGCCAGACTGAGAAATAGATCTAGTACTTTAAATGATGATCTATTGTGCCCAATCCCAATGAATATTTTGATGCAAATAAAATAGGTTTAAATCAAATCATCTACGTAAATGTGAACGCTTTGGTCCTGCTTTATCTAATTGCAGCTTCATGCATGCTGTCATATTACCCTTATTTTTATGAGGCTCTCCAGGACAATACATGTTGTGTAGTTCAAGTCTAATGACTTCCCGAACCATTCTATTCTTTATTATGTACATACATATTTTTATATATTGACTAAATTTAGGATATCGTCTCATAAATTAAATATAGAAATTGGAAGACGCAGAAACAGGATTTGTAAAAAATGTAATTTGAGAGATATAGAAGACGAATTCCATTTTCTTTTTATTTGTTCATTTTATAGCTATTTACGGCACAGATTAATCAAACAATATTATTACAGAAAACCCTCCATTTGTAAATTAATACAACTACTTGGTATGAATTATGTTAACTATGGGTGGTCGGGTGGCGCAGTGGAACGCACTCGCCTTTCACCAAGGAGACCAGGGTTCGATTTCCCGATTGGACGTAAAAAAAGGTATGAGGTTACCTGCCCGACCGCGTGGTTTTTCTCCGGGTAATCCGTTATCCTCCCACATTAAGAACCCCTGTGCGCTAACAACCGGGCCAACAAGAGTAAGTTAGAGAGTTATCCAATTTAGGAAAATATTTATATTTAGCATTTAAAAGGCGTTAATTATAGGTTTATGCATTGTGGTGTTTCATAATGTGTTAATTACGTATTGGTATAGGCACATTATTGAACGGTGTTTTAGGTATACTGTGATGTCACTCTCCTGTCTATTCAAATTATGTTTAGAGAATGTTATATGTATATATGTCTGTGACTATAAGCCTACGGGCTTTTGGCTAATAAATAATGACGTCACCGATTGTAGGTATAATATAACCTCTATCCTACACCGATACTGCATACTGTGAAAATTTCGCACAGTAAGCTTTCGCCCGAAGTTAATTTCGCCCTTCACGTTTAATACCTATGTTTATTGTATTGTTGGAAAATGTTCGCCGTAAAGGTGAATTCGCCCTCATTGCGTATGGCGAAAGGGGCGAATGTTAACCTGCGGCGAAAATGTCCAGGTATACAGTTTAATGAATTAGGGATAGTTCATAAGTGAATTAAAAAGAGAAACAAAACCGGAAAGCCCGAGATGTAACCACATATCACCGTGACACACCTACAGCTATTGCCGAGGAACTGTTACATAGCTGTCGAATAATAGCTAATTAACACAAAAATGCGGCTCTGGGCCTTAGTAGTGACATATTATATTCTGCTCGAAACTATTCAGGAACTGCATGTCATTTTAAGGGCAAAATATCTCCCTATCCTTATTCTTTCTATAAATTCCAGTTCATAATACTGTATTTTTATTTTCATTGTTTGTCCTCCTTTATATATCTTTCACAAATTCATCTCAGAAATAAAAACAAAAATTGGACAGAAAAAGAAAATAAACTGAAAGGATAGAAAAACGAAAAAGATCCCTAGTGCAGCAATGGGGACAGCAGATCAATTTTGGTATCTTCCATGTCCCCCGACAGTGGTCACCGTCTTGTGGAGAGGACGAGAAGGCTAGTTTGATCATTTGCTGTCCATAAAAAGAATCTGTCGGTCGCGTAAGGGTAACATTGACTGGCTTTGAAGTCAGGTGTCGCTCCTCTGTTTTCTACAAAGGACAAGTATCAGCCTAGCGATTGGTCAGTGTTGTTTTTACTTTAATGTGTTTGGTTTGTTTGTGTTTTACGTCCTGTTAACAGCTATGGTCATTTTAAGGACGTGCCAGGTTTTGTTGGTGGAGGAAAGTCGGAGTTCCCGGAGAAAAACCACCGACGTACGGCATTTCCTGGCGACTGTCCCATGTCGATCTCGAACCCGCGACCCAGTGGTGAAGGGCTAGTGGTAGAAGAATGTCGAATGCCTTAACCAATTGGCCACCGCGGCACAATTTTAACCTAAAACCAATCAAACAGCTAGCAGTGTGCCTTCAATATTGCTATAACATAGTCCAGGGCTGCAGAGAGTGAAAGTGAGCGTTACCCCTGGAGTGTCGAATGGTGCTACAGATCACACCAACACAATAATTGCATATTGAACTAATCACATATTGCGTTGGTTTGATTTTCAATATTTTATTAAATAAAACAATTTCATTTTACACCATACTCTGAATAACAATGGGGCTGACAAATCCACTTAAAGCTTGTATACCTTATCATTAGGATAGAACGGGTTTATGTATGTGTCGTTGTCGGACATGATCTTTTCGTTTGATCCCTTCCACAGGGATTGCCTGTTGCATTCCTCCTGGTTGTGTTTGAGGTAATTTGAATTTTGGAATGGCATCTAAGGACTGTTGAATGTAAAAAGAAAGAAAAATACGTTAGTATTAATTTGCAAGAGACACATAATCAGGATGATGATGCATGGGCAAAAACAAAAACTTAAAAGTCACAAAAAATAGCAATTACGCCTAAAAAGTTGAATTAACGTCCAAATTATTTTTATTAACTGTGAGCCGGATTTCGGATTAGTGATGTTAGACAATGCTGTCGAGATCGAAAAAATAACATATAAAAATCATAAATATAAAATTAACGTCACAAAAAAAGGCCTGATTTAACTATTGAACAGCTTTTTGGAAACATTGATGTCCAACAACCTGTTAATATAGTAGGAATACTTACTTTTTGGACAAGTTCTTCGTCCACACGTACGTACAGCCACGTGAACAATTTCCTTTCCTCGCGTATGACCACTTTATACTTGTCTTCTATTGTGTTCATTCCATCTTTTTCGGAGATGTTTTTTACACTTTTATAAACATTGTTCCTGAAAAAATAAATAGTAGCAATCAAATTTTGTATTAAACAGCAGTGATATTACATGTTGAGGATATAATAAAAAAAAAAGCAAGCTTTAGTACAGTACTACCAGACTGCATCCTCGATATCGAGGGGTTACGCTCACTTTCGCTCTCTGCACCCCTGGAATATGTCATAGCGAAATTGAAGGCACGCGGCTAGCTATTTGATTGGTGAGGACATAGCTTAATGTAACCTTACACAACGCTGTAGTTGGAAATCAAGCTCTTTTTATGGGTATTTTTTCAGTAGAGCAAAAGACTTTGGTTTGGTTTGGTTTGGTTGTGATTTACGTCTTATTAACAGCTATGGTCTTTTAAAGACGTGCTATGTTTTGGTGTTGGAGGAAAGCCGGAAATACTGGAGAAAAAACACCGACCTACCGCCAGTACCTGGCGGCTGCTCCACGTAGGCCTCGAACCCTCGACCCAGTGGTGAAGGGCTAGTGGTAGCAGAATGTCAGAGGCCTTAACTACTTGGCCACCGCGGCCCCTCTCAAAAGACTTAAATTGGTCACAAGGTATTATCGTAAAATAATATTTATTTCCGTGTTCGCAGTATTTTTTTTTCCAGTCATTTACCAAAAGTCCACCCCACTCCCACTCCCAAAACGAGTCTTCTAAATGTGTTCAATACCTCTCGTCCAGCTCGGGGTCTCTTTCATGGTCAAGTGTGGTTGTGTACGCCACTTTATTTGAAGGACGAGATACCCTGTAATCCTTTTTATCGAATCTGTAAATAAAATAAATAAATAAACTATATATCTTGTTTTCAATATTTAAAGAATCGTATGTACTATTTTACTGTTTAAGCTGGCCTAGTTTTTCATCTAGAACTTGCTTCTTAATGACAATAGTGATACTTGTTGAGGCTAGATTAAAAGGAGTATTTACTTTGGTGTGTTTACTTTGTTAAAAATATAACATTAAATGTTTTGGCCGTCTACCGCTACTAATCTACTAATCTATTTGAACAAAAAGATTTAAGAAAAGTAAAGAGTCTTACTAATCTCCATCGTTGACCAAACTGAATGAAGTAGAGGACTTTACATGTTTCAAAATACATCTATCAGAAGATCATATAAAGAAAACATTCACCATGGGACATTAAAATTGTTCTTGATCAATTTAGTAATGTTTCCATTTTTTTCAATCTTTTTACAATGCATAAATAACTTCCTGTGTTTATCCCAAACCAAACTTGCCTATGTAGAACGCATTATTACATCGATCGCTGTATCCTATTCTGGGTTATAAATGGCTTAAACATTTCAACAGAATATAAAAACATTATTTTTTTGTAAACATACGTCACTGTGGACAACGACCACATTTGTATACAATTAGTTTTATTACAACTAATTAACAAAATTAATTCGTACCTAATGCCTATTCTCTCTCTGTCACACTCCACCATATATGCCCACATACACTACTTCCACACATACTGTAAAGTAGAGAACTGAATATGTGTGTGATACGTGACTACATGTGACGTATCACACAAGTTTACTTGTTTACGTTGTCCACGTGACTACTGTTTTATAATTCATTTATGCATGCAAGGCAAGCCCCAAATAAATGATTATTATTTGTTGATGGCGGCGTTACCACGGTGTGAATTATCATTACGTCATTTATTTTTGGCTCACGTTTGACGTCATTTAGTTATAATTGTTCACATGATACTTGAATTCGAGATCGCTGTGTACTGCGAATGTACGACAACATACTAGAACAAAAGGACAATGGCAACGTGGGCTCGCGCGTTTTTGATGGCTTCTCTGGTTTACACAGATTGTAACTATTCACAGAACACGTAAGACTGAAATCGTATTAACATCTCAAAATCAGGACATATTTTCCTTAAATCTGGCAACATAGTGATGTAGCTAATATTAAACTTTGACACTATTGGTCAGAGCTCAATGTTTAATTATAACTGCAGGATAATTGATACGCTTGTTTTAAAAACATCCTGATGATAGCTTTAGGCTCGCTATAGCGTACGCGAGCACAACAACGACCAAAACGTGATATATCAGCATTCTAGTATGCAGTGTTGAGGGAATGAGGCATGTTATGTTAAATTACCTGCGAAATAAGTCGTCGTCTTCGCCCCCCCAAACAAAGAAAGCATTAGAATAGCCGTTCACTGCCACAAACTGTTTGTATGTCACACTTAGTATTCCTCCGATCAGGTAGCTATATAATAGTCTGAAACAAGTGAATATCAAATGCATTAATTTGAAGAAAATATAGTGCAGAATATTAGAGTTACGCCAATGATAAATATGTGTATAAAGTCTGCGATTCTCTTTTTTAATTTTTCTCGCAGCTGGAATTTATTCTGGTACGGTTTACATTAAAAAAAATAAAAAATAAAAAAAAGTAATGGGTCAATTAAAAAAAAAGGGTGTCATTTAAAAAGAAAAAACTTAATTTAATTTATGGGGTTATTCTGTTACGTGATGAAAGGATTTTTTTTACATATGTTTCGGAACACTTACGAAATTGATTTTTCTTTCTTTCCACACCCTACCTTGAATTAACAATTGTTTGTTTTTTATTTACTGAAAAATGTTCTCAGTTCGTCTATTAGGACTAATGAGTCCTACATGGATGACGGTTCTAATGGATGAAATGGCCATACAAAATGTGTACTTATTCGACTTTTTGCATCTGACAAATTTCGAGTTAGTTCCTTCGTATTTCAAGAATCCCCTAATTTCAACAAAGCTTTGATAGATGCACACGTCTCTTTAATACTTGCTTAACATGGCGGGTGTCATCGATGAAACAGAAGACTCTTACCCTTCTTGAACACCTGCTCTTATTTTCCTAGTGTTTTTTCAAGGGTCTCCGTGTAATTTCTTTCCTTTGTTCCTATTTTGATATTTTGGCATTCTCTTGGTTTTTTTTTTCGGTAAGTCGCTGTGTAGGGTTTTTGGGGTTTGTTTATTTTCTTTACTTTGTTACTTGTATTGGAAGACGTTGACTAAGACTGCTATGTGTCGTATCATTTTTTCGCCACGAATGTCACATTTAAACATGTTTCTGTCGTCTTCAATGATAGTATCCACGTCGTTAAATATGAAACAGTCATATTGGGCTGTCTTGTTGGCTTCCAGAAATCCAATATTGCGCAACATTCCTCGGTTGAACCGGTTGCCAGGCGCCTGAAAAGTAGTCGTGTTTAGGTTCAACAAGACCCCTTAACAATTCAAATAGGTAATTTGGATATATTCAACGTGTACATCAGTTATTAAAATAATATATAGTGACATTAATATCGTCTGCAAGGACACATTTAGGCATATGTTAGGGAAGTGAATTAACATATTTTAGTTGTTTGAGAAATTGCTTGAAGCCTTGATCATTCTCTTTTCTCACCACCAGTCAACCGATTGCTCTACCTTTTCAACAGAATTATTCTTGCTTAACTGTGCTATAGTATTATTCAAACTAAAGTATAGGGGGAGTAACTTTATATTGAAGAAAAAAACAGAGCAGTGGAACAGGGATACTGAATATCTCTCTAGATTGCAAATTAAAGCCCTTTAGCTCAGCGGTAGATCATCGCACATGAGAGCCAAAGGTCGCGGGTTCGTGCCCCAGCGACGGCACTATCTTTATCATATGTCCTCGTCCTACTACAAAGTGGTGCCTGTAATCAACCCTTGTCTCAAGTATTGGGTGTACGCTTGACAAGGAAAACCCGAACCTTGGTTGTAAATAGTTGTGCCTTCGGGGGCGAAGACTTAGAACAAGGAGGGAGGAATTAGCGGAACTGGACTGGATCGATCGTCGGCGACCAGGTAGCTCAATTGCGTTCGTCTAGAGTTCAGAGGGTCCCGGATTCGAAACCCGGTCTGGCCGTGCATTTTTCCTCTCCTGTCACACCTCTAAGGATTAAAATTTCCTCTTTCTTATCTGTTTCCCATCTGTTTTGTAGTTTTGATCCTTTTCAATAGTAATAGTTTTCCTCTTTCTGTGTACAACACATTGGTCATTTAAACTTACTTACAAGCAACATTGTTAAGAAAATCGGGTATTGTGATGGGTGTTTACTAAACAAATATGTTATATGTTTATTGTACAGTGTCTTGTTGACGAAAGTTAAGCTTTATAATAAGAATAATTAATAATAATTCGAGGTTCTTATATACCGCTTTATCACAACCTAGTTCGTAGGTCGCCTCAAAGCGGTCCACAAATCATTATCCGTGGTTATAGGGTATTTGCAACCAGCAAATATCTTTCTCAACCCCCAGGGAAGTATTCAGCCGGTGCTGCCATTTCGGCGCTCACAGCTAGTACTCTACAATTCTTGCACTTCCCAACCACGTACTCATTTACAGCTTAGTAGACTGGAACAAGCGGCGTGAAGTATCTTGCTCAAAGATACAACACAATGCCGTGACGTCACTCGAACTCGCAATCCTTCGGTCACGTGCCCGGCGTCCTACCACTAGACTACCGTGCCTCCTTTATATCTGATTGATATCTAAGTATATCCTGATATTTTTGTTCGGGATTATAATTGACCCGAAGCTTACAATATAAGAAAAATTACCATGTTTGGGAAATACAATAAATTTCTGTGTATTTTTTTTACGTTCTATTATATGATTGCTGGACTTTTGTAGATTTTTATCTTATTTGCTAATAATAGATATTTGGACAATGGGGTAAGGGTACAGGAGCCCCTTTTGGGACAATGCAATTCTCTTCCATTTACCAGTGTTATTGGAAAATGTTGTATAAAGTCCACATATTTTGTTATTATGATTCAGCACAACATTCCATAACTTAATCACTATTCTCTTCCTTACCAGCTCCATCTTGATAATCCAGGGGTATCGCTCACTTTCGCTGAAATATGTCATAGCAAAATTGATGGCACACAGTTAGCAGTTTGATTGGGATCAGATGGGAAAAAACCCTCACCAATCGCTAACCTGATAAATGTCATTTATAGGTTACAGAGGAGGGACACCCAACTTCAAAGCCTGTCAACGTTACCGTTACACGACCGATATATTCTGTCGATGGTCATCTAATGATCACACTAGTCTTATTGTCTTATCCACAAGGAGGTGTACACTGAACCTTCGATTTTGCTATGACATATTCAAGGGGTGCAGAGAGAGAAAGAGAGCGTAACCCAGAGGTCGAAATCGACCCAGTTCTAACACTTACCTGTTCTACAACAAATATGGTGTAGTCCAACTGTTGTCGTTGCAGCTTTGGTAATAAGTTAGACATCAATATCTTAAGATGGCTGTCCCTATCTCGATAAGGAATAATGATAGCTACCCGGAACACAGCCTTACAACCTTCGGGTTTCCATCGTCCGCCTTGCAACGTGTCATTGAACCTACTGTCTAGGTTCTGCCACTTATGATTTGTCAAATTTACAGTTTCTCTGCCGTCTACAACAAAGAAGACATTAACTTATTTCTGTATGTTTCCATTTCGGATGGAAATCCCTATTGTTTTCGTTATGTTTTTTCCTATTCTTATTCTTATTATTAGTTCTTATTATTTATTAATCTTATTATTATCTGGAAACCCCTCAAGATAGGTCTCTGGATCCGCCACTGCACTAATAGCTTTCTATTAATGCTGACCATTCAGAAATAACTTGACCCTTTGATAAGGTTGGTCAAAGAAGGAAAGCCAGGGGAAACATTTTAAAGCGATCGTCAGTCCGAGAACATATCTTTGATCATTTTCTTGCTTGTTGGAAACCCTGTGTTTTGATCTTGATCAAATCTAGTTTAATTTGAAATTAACCAGCACTCCTCTAAATTTTGAAACTCGTAAAATGGAAAAGGTATTTACGCAAGCAGTATAATCTCTGACGTTTTAATCAATCAAAATTACAAGGATCTGTGGAATAACCAATTAATTACATCAGAGAAGGCGTGGCCTTATTATTCGCATGACGTCAGACGAGGTCGTTGTGTGGAAATGGCGCAGCTTAATTCCGGTCATCGTCCAATCGTGGTGTTTTGGTGTCGACCACGAAAGAACGTGAGTCGAAGGAGTTACACATAGTCGAATCGGAAGTTTCGATCTGACAGCCGATTGTGCCGGAAAGGGGAACGCGAGTCATAGCAGAGACACGTAAAGGAGTTTAAATTGAGGTCGACGTGGTGTCACAGACTACAATTTTGGAATGAATGCACCTGATTGTCGTAAATTCAAAATAGTGTACAAAATTAAAGATAAAGTATTTATTTTTGAGCTTGTGTTGAGTGACGGAATGTCGGACTGATGTTTATTTTTGACGTTAGATTTTTTAGCTCACCTGGTCCGAAGGACCATGGTGAGTTTATGCCATACCGCAGCGTCCGTCGTCCGTCCGTCCGTCAACTTTTCCTTTAAAACACTTCTAGTCATGAAAGCCTATGAAGAAGGGGGAAGGGGAACAAATTTTGTATAAATGGTGGGCCTGGCCTCCCTGGGGGCTGAGGGGCATGGCCCAATAGGAGAAATATAACAATTTTTCAAAATCCTTCTTCTTCTTCTGTAGGATAACAGGATTTGTTCAATATTTTGTCAGAAGCTTCCTTGGGGTAAGGGGAACAAATTTTGTATAAATGGTGGGTCTGACCCCCCTGGGGGCTGAGGGGCGGGGCCCAATAGGGGAAATATAACAAATTCTTTAAAATCCTTCTTCTTCTCTAGGAATAATAGGATTTGTTCCATATTTGGCATGAAGCATCCTTGGGTGAGGGGAAACCAATTTTGTATAAACGGTGGGTCTGGCCCCCCATGGGCCTGAGGGGTGGGGCCCAATAGGGGAAACATAGTGAATTCTTTAAAATCCTTCTTCTTCTGTAGAAATGAAATGATTTGGTCCATATTTGGTCTGAAGCATTCCAGGGTGAAGGAGAACCAAGTTTGTATAAACGGTGTGTCTGGCCCCCTGGGGGCTGAGGGGCGTGGCCCAATAGGGGAAATATAACAAATTCTTTAAATTCCTTATTCTTCTGTAGGAATGAAAGGATTTGTTCCATATTTGGTCTGAAGCATCCTTGGGTAAAGGGAAACCTATTTTGTATAAACCGTGGGTCTGGCCCTCCAGGGGCCTAAGGGGCGGGGCCCAATAGGGGAAACATAGCAAATTCTTCAAAATCCTTCTTCTTCTGTAGGAATAAAAGGATTTGGTCCATTCTTCAAATACCTTCTTCTGCACGAATGACTGGATTTTATCCTTATTAAGTCTGGAGCATCCTTGGGCCAAGGGGACTCAATTTTGTATAAACGGTGGGTATGACCACCTAGGGCCATAGGGGTGGGGCTTTGTTTGAAGTTTGTTCTCGCTATATCTCAAGTACTGGATTGATCTTTCTGAATTTTCATATGTACTTACAGCACCTACCATGGAGTGCTATATCTTTACTTCATACCAATTATTTTAAACATATTCAGGTGAGCGATACAGGCCCTCTGGGCCTCTTGTTTATTTGATGCACGTGAGTAACGTTCTTTAAAAATGGTGTTATATCTAGTGTTGTTTTTTTACACTTGATGCACGCATTTGGTGCTAAATTTTGGTTTAGATGCTTAATTAATATGACCATTCGCCCAGTAATTCGTAATCAAGAATATTCGTCCCCTTGTATAGATAGTTTACATTTGTTAAGACTACTCGTACCATAAACCAATTATTACACTCAATTTTATCAAGACTACTTTATTGCATTTTGAATGTAATTCAACTTACGAAATGCTGTCCTGTAGCTCACACAGGTAGGCAGCTGAGATTCAGTAATGATCCGTTGGTTTTCGGTGAAAGTCTTATTCGTGTCATCAGATGTTGTTTTCTTGTGATAACTTTCGTCGAACGCAATAATACTCCTTCGAATGTTAGTAATAGTGTTGTTTGCGTCATCAATTGGCGCTTTCACACGATACCTTTTGTCAAGCTCCGTAATATTCCCTTGTTTTTCAGCGAAAGTTTTATTCATTTCCTCAAATGACACTTTCATAAGATATCTTCCGTCAAACTCAGAAACACTTCTTCGAACTTGGCTTCTAGTTTTATTCGCGCCATCAAAGGAGTTTTTCATTCGATATACGGCAAGTAACATTGATAATAGGGCTATCGTCAAAATCTTTGTTCGGTAACGTGACACAATACATTTCAAAAATCGTACTTTGTACCGGCAGAGCACAGATGGCATCGTATCCATGTCGTTCAACAGACCCTGCTCCCTATGGAAAACATCTGACGTATGTAACTAATATATCTATTTCACCAGGTTCATTTTGCCGTTTTTCAGGATAAAACTACGTTCTTCCTTTATGGGGCTAACGTTAAACCGTGTTAACATGTGATGGCTGTGACCAATCGGAACATTTCTTTTAGGGAATGGGAGGAACTCCCAATCGGCCGCTGTGTCGTTTGTCATTTGCTTCCTAAATGCCATTACTTCACGCGGTAACAGATGTAAGATATCATCTACGTAAATGTGAACGCTTTGGTCCTGATTTACATAAAAAAAAATATGTCAAAGTGGATATCTAATTGCAGCTTCATGCATGTTGTCATATTACCCTTATTTTTATGAGGCTCTCTAGGACAATACATGTTGTGTAGTTCAAGTCTAATGACTTCCCGAACCATTCTATTCTTTATTAGGTACATACATATTTATATATATTGACTAAATTTAGGATATCGTCTCATCAATTAAATATAGAAATTGGAAGACGCAGAACCAGGATTTGTAAAAAATGTAATTTGAGAGATATAGAAGACGAATTCCATTTTCTTTTTATTTGTTCATTTTATAGCTATTTACGGCCTAGATTAATCAAACAATATTATTACAGAAAACCCTCCATTTGTAAATTAATACAACTACTTGGTATGAATTATGTTAATTATGGGTGGTCGGGTGGCGCAGTGGATAACGCACTCGCCTTTCACCAAGGAGACCAGGGTTCGAATCCCCGATCGGACGTAAAAAGGTATGAGGTTACCTGCCTGACCGCGTGGCTTTTCTCCGGGTAATCCGGTATCCTCCCACATTAAGAACCCCTGCGCGCTAACATCCGGGACAACAAGAGTGATTAATATAGGTTATAAATAAATAAAGTTTATATATATAATGTTAGAGAGTTATTCAATTTAGGAAAATATTTATATTTAGCATTTAAAAGGCGTTAATTATCGGTTTATGTATTGTGGTGTTTCATAATTGTAATGTGTTAATTACATATTGTGATATGCACATTATTGAACGGTGTTTTAGGTATACTGTGTTGTCACTCACCTTTACTGTGGAAATTTCGCACAGTAAGCTTTCGCCCTACGCCGATGAAATCCGTATTTTCCCGAAGTTAATTTCGCCCTTCGCCTGGGCCTTAGTAGTGACATATTATATTCTGTTCGAAACTATTCAGGAACTGCATGTCAGTTTACGGGCAAAATATCTCCCTATCCTTATTCTTTCTATAAATTCCAGTTCATAACATTTTTATTTTTATTGTTTGTCACCTTTTTTTTTTCACAGATTCATCTCAGAAATAACATTTTTTCCTGAAACAATTTTTCCTGAAACAAAAAATAGACAGAAAAAGAAAATATACTGCAATGATAGAACAACGAAAAAGATCGCTCGTCCATCAATAGGGACAGCAGATCAAGTTTGGTCTTTTCCATGTCCCGTTTGTTAAATACAAGGAAGAAAACACCCGACTCTGCTGGAGGTCCACAATAGTCGCCTCTAACAATCACGCATTGGGATACAGCAGGCCTCTCCCCGAACGGGTTACGCCACACTGATGAGTTGCCTCTGCTACTGGACTTTGAAGCCAGACTTTAATCTTGCACGATCACTACTATTTGATTTAAACATATTTTAAGTTGCATCTGTTATACATTAGGGATTGGTCACAAGTTGTCCAATATATATGAAGCCTTTTCCCAATAACATATAATATACACATATATATAAAAGATGGCAAATTTAAATTTAGTTAATATTTTCAATTAAATTTAGTATAACATTATGAGAGAAAGGAGAGAGAGGGAGGGGGGTGTTACATATTTGGAGATATTTAATGCGAGGTCGTGGTAGTGATTTACATGACTGTTAGTTTAAAAGTAATTTGTTTTATTATCCAAAACTTGTAAATTTCACACGTTATATTCATTTTTAACCTTTCATTGTACTTATTCATGTTGTGGAAGACGTTAGATATGGATTTTCATTCTTTTGCTCTTTAGTACACAACTGAACAGTAATATTGGCCATATGGTGCAACTACTCCTTTCTTCGTCGACGCACTTAAGATGTCGTCTCGTTCAACCAGACGACTATTAAGGATGTACTCTTCTGAGGTTCAAATCACGTTCAAGTCTCGTTTAAACTAAACAAAGCCATTCTAAAAGCAAACATGCGTCTGAAAATGTGTAATTAAACTAAAATTTGTTTCGCCATTTCTAATTGTAGCAAGTTGATTTTCGCTGTACAAGTTTGTAAGGTACAACATTATAAAAAATGTATGCAACTGACTGTAAATTAAACATTACTGGTATTTTGGTGGGTTTTTTTACTTATTAAGTGGCTCTTGAACTGAAGCTCTTTTGATTTTTTACCCCGCAAAAGGGGAAAGTAACAACAATACCATGGCTAAAAAAGATAATTATTGCTGTTTTATAAAGAGAACACACATTTTTTTTATCAATAAGATATTAAAAAAAATCTAAATTAAGCGTTAAATCTACAAAAAAATGGTGTTTTTTCATTTAAAAGTAAAGGGACGGGAAAACCTAAATCCCTTTTCTGAGATAAAGAATAAGTTAAAGAAATTTTACTTGCATGATTTAGAAGAAAGTACTAGTTTTATCAATTGTGCAGATGTCCATTCATCTCTGACGACACACGTGGAAGATATTGTGTTCTACGTTCTACATACGGTCAAAACTGGGGAAAAAATCACCAAATATCTCTTATTATATTAAATTGGTATCTTTGATCAATCGTACCCAAAACAACCGCACACACGTATCTTTTTTTTATTGCATTTTCTACTATGCCATAAGCTCCTTATTTCCAAGTATACAGGATTTTTATTTAAAACTTCTCACAGTACGTTCTAACATTTTAAAGGGACAATTTAGTGAAGGAAGTTGTTTTGATTACCTGAAAATCGAGTCGATACTGAAAATGTATATCTCCTAACGAAGGTTTATGTAGTTGATGACCTGAAGCGAACTACGACCAGGTTTGAGAGGGTGCCACAGGGAGAATTTAAACCGCAGAAAGTACGATATCAATAGGTTTAAATATAAAATAGATCACTCATTTATAACGATGTTTAAGGTGCTGTTGGAAGATGATTTCGATTTAGAAAAGATTCATATACTTGTATTCAGAGATTCTAGGCGAATAAAACGAGAAGTCACCTTCTCTCCTCAGCTGGAATGACATTTTTGTTAGCTAGAAATTCACCGACAGCTGCCGCTAAAACGTACGGCTGTGCAGTTAAGTATTTCTCCGTTACGGATTAAAAACTCCAAGAAAACATTGTCTCTTGTCAATTTCTCGACATGAATTGTTCATAGGTATTAAACTATATAATCATGAAGAGTTTTGTGACAAGGTTGTAAAAAAACTTACTTCACTAAATTGTCCCTTCTTCCTTGTATTTCTGGCCATTATAAATCAATTCCGTCTCTGCGTATTGCAGAGTTATCTTCTCTTGGGAGCAGGTATTGATTGTTTCGTCATTGGTTTGTGCGAGAAAATTACGTCGTTTTCTCAAAAATAGATGACGTTCCTCCCACAAACAAGTGACGTAACAATCAATCCCTCCTCCCAAGAGAAGATAACTCTGCAATACGCAAAGACGGAATAATCAATGTGCGACGATCTTGAAAAAAATCCAGCCAACTTGTCTATTTTTTTGTGATTTTTTCCTAAAGCGTTTGATCGAGAATGGCATATGGGGCTGGAAGTAAAATCAGCTAGATATGGGATATCGGGAAAGATATTGGACTGGTTAATTAATTATGTTATTAATAGATCTCAACAAGTTTGTATTGTAATTCTTTATTGGTCGTAAACTGATACAGTTTATAGATACAACAAATATTTCCAGGGCCATTCCATTAATACCACATTTGATTATCTACTAAATGATTAACTCGTAATATGTTTACTTGATGGACTAATTTTCCAAAATTACACAATTCTTTCGTATTTACAGATGATAGAAATATAATTAATTTAAAGACGGAGGGATTTATTCGATAATAGGGCTTAATATATTTGGTTCTCAATTAATTATACAAGGGATATTTTAACATGAAATGATATTCGTCCTCGATATCATTGAGACACAGGGCAAGTTTGAAGCTGACGTGGAACATTTCTGTGTCTGCCTGATTCGATAAGAAGACAATGTGAAGATAAACGTAATCTAACAATAATGTTTTTTTATAATTAGCAGGAATTGGTTTTGAAAGATAAGTTTGCAATGCTAAGTGATCTACAACATGCCTGTATAAAACACATTTTGGCGACGGACGAAACAAAAAAACTTCACGTTGTTTTACAATATATATACAATTGTTTACATTTATAATATGTTGGGAAACCCAAATGTCCATCATACCTAATGAGCAGAGCTCGTGTTTGACTTTCTCAACCCAGTTTTTACAATTTGGATTAGCCTAAATTCGTTGCACATATACTCGTAACATCCTTTTAAAATACAATTGTTGGTAAAGGTCAACTTACACCAGTATTTAATTATTCTTAATTTGCGTAAGAGGGACAATGGGAACCTCCCAAGTTCAAAGTATACCATAGCATTTGGTGTCGACCGTTTAACTCCAAGAATATTTTTACAAAAATCTAATTGTACCCTCTCAATGTCAGGGGCTGTATGGAACTACTATATCCCGTCACACTTCCTACATATGTGTCAAAGAGACTCAATAATGTGGAAACAT